CGGCTTGGTCTTCTCTTCGAAAACAGGCCTTACAACCCAATCCTTCATCCCCTTAGGATAAACATAGCGGAATCGTTTCTCTCCACTCGAAGCCTCTGCTTGAGATCGACCAGTGCCCGAATTGTGGTCTAAAGCAGTTAGCTGTGTACGCGCTACCATTCCCTGGTATCCAAAATGTTGCCGCTTGGGCGCGTATTTGTTGTAGAGTGAATGGTACACTTCCAAGGCCCCTGTGTGGATGGTCTTCGTTAGAAGGTCCAAATCCTTTAAGAGTGTCTTCTCTAGCACTACGTGTTTTAACGCTTCGTGTGCCGGGGAACCTGCGACTAGCCATTTCGTTTTACGATGTGCCCTTGGGGAAATGGGCTCGTGTGCACAACGACTGTACAGCACAGTCGAATCCCAATCGTGTTTGTCAGCCGTGTGGTGGAGGATGCTGACCCACTTCTCTTTGAGGAGCTGGGGATTTCCGTCACATGTCATCGCTGACCACCACATATGGTTTGTGACGGATTTTATCCAAGGAGAGAGGTCCCTGCATTCTTTCTTCTTGGCTTTCGTGACTAGCTTGGACTTGATGTTCTTAGTCAAGTGCCACACGTCTACCTGGTGCTCAACACCGAGGTCCTTATACTCGCTTCTCATGAGTGCCTTGATACCGGTGTGCCTGTCAGTACCTACAACACCTACAGGAATGCCACTATTTAGTGCGCGATCAAGACAATGCTTAAAACCACGTTTCTCCATTGCCTGTGAACTTGTACTCTGCTTTACATGGCAAACTTCGAAATCGACAATTTTCTCACTCTCTTTGTCCATCATGGTGTAAGTTCCGTATTTGGCACTATAGCCTAGGGAGTCACAACGTCCATCCCCGAGGAGAGTGACTGAGTTCCTGTCTAAGAGATCGGCGAGGACTGCCGCCTTTTCCTGCTGCCAACGATCATTTATTACAGGGAAAAGGTGCTTCTTCTGCCAGTTGTGATAATCTGATTTGCTCAGAAAGGCAAGATTTATTGCAGAGGCAACTTCTGAAACACGCGAAAACGTATTTCCTGTAAAAAGTATAGCACCTGAAAGCAATACGTTCCCTGCGGCCGCCCTGTTAACAAGCGGCTGGGAAACCCACTCCTTCGAATGGGAGTTTTTACAAAGTGTCGTTACTTTAAGTGCACTTCCCTTTTTTAATAGCTCCTTTTCAAGAACCTCGCCACCGCATTCAACACAGCGGCCAAGTAACTTAAGCAGTTCTTCCTCAAATACTATGTACTTGGGAGACGAACACATTTTCTCATAAATGGTATCGTGACTGTTACTAACGGGCGGATCAGTCTCCAAATCGCTTTGGGTGGTGTCCTGGTCCACTTCTTCAAAGCTGATGTTAAACGAACTGTCTTCCCCAGCCTCTTCATCACAGCTGACTTGAATGGAACTGTTGTTGATATTGTCATCATCAAAGCTGACTTGAAGGGAATTGTCGTTCACATCGTCATCTATTGTTACGTCAGTATCTTCTTCCAGGTTAATCGAGAGTTCCAGAAGCCGAGGTGGTTGGCTAGATGAAGCTTTGATCGGGGTCGAAGTAAATGGCTGCGTGCAAAGGGACCCAGGCTTAGAGAATAAAGGCAGCGGATTCCATGGTGGAACACAACTATAGTTGTGATCTTGAAGAAGCAGCGCGTCTCCTGTTTCACTAGCAAGCCATTGTGTTCCACACGTCGTAAACTTTTTTTCAGGTTCGCGGTGTTCTGCGCTTGCAGATGTAGCGTCGGTCCGGATAAACTGAGATTCCGTGCAGCTTGGGGAAGAAAGTTGATTCGCCGAAGGTTCTGTTTCAAGCTGTGGAGAAGAGGGCGAAGCAGCACAGGAGGTAGATAGTGTATCGCTAGTGTTTTCCTTTACAACTGAACACGAAGACTTTTCTTGCTCTAAAGATAGCAAATGGGTGTTTTCAAGAAGGGTGTTCAAGACCTACGATGAAATGTAGAATGTACGGTGTTGATTACATTTATAGGCTGGTATCACAAAACAGTAGTTAGTTGCATCATTAATATTTCACACCCCACCTCCTGTCGGCTCTGGCGATTCGCCCTACCAACGCTTGTTTGTCGGATTTTCTTTGGTGGAGGCGCATAGGGAAAAACAGATGGAACTGCATCATCTTTTAAATGTCTCTTTTTCCTGCTACCGTCAGATCCAAGGAGCTCGGACTGTATTTTTACAAGAAAGGAAAACAAACAAACATTAAACACACTAATGGTTTTCCTCATTGTCTTCTTATTTACACAGAGTGACTAGAAGACCTTTTTTACCGTGATTCTGGTATAAACAAATATTCACGTGCCTAATAAGATAATTATAAACACTGCTTTGGAAAAATGCTTGGGAAAAATTCTTGGGAGAAAACGGCTAAGCGCCTCATGGTCGCGATTGAATTTACTACACGTGGTCAATCACCAATGCGAGCTTCAATTTGTTTTGCTGCTATTACAGTGGTTCTTTTAAATAAAATTAAAGAAAAAAATACAATTCGAGTATGGGAAAGGTAAACATACCTTTCAGTTTGAAGCAAAGGTAAAATATTCATACCTGAATATTCCGCTTGAAGTCGTCCTTGATAAAGTGATCTGAGCAGACGTAGCAGTTCTCGGGTTTCGGCAGAGCGTCCTCGCGTTTTATTTTTGCCAGCCAAATTTTCTTTAAATTTTCATTTACAGGTAGCTTGTGGAAGCTTACTCCTTTCCCTTTTGTATTTTTGTAAGTATTATGGCAGTTAACTACAAGACAGTTGACCATAGTTAAACCCTCATTAGAAATACTCGTCAGAAAGGTCAATCAAGTCAACCAGGTCAAAGCGATGAACAACAAGGTTTGACTATTGCTACGTCATAGCTGACGTCATGTCCAAGATGGCGTTTTTCTAGTCGCGAAAGTGGCAGATAAGAGCAACTTCAAAGCGCTGTTGTCGTAATTACAAAGCAAACTGGACAAAACGGCAACTATTTTCGAATTCCTGTGGAAAAGTTCTATTAATAGAAGTAAAATTTTTCTAGACCGTACTTCCCCTTTAATAACTTTTGCCCATTTCTTTTTATAGGTTTATTGAATGAAAGATAAACTTCGACATTTTCTGACTCTATAACTGCTAATCTAACACACAAAACTCAGAAACTCTACCGAACTCAGCAAGCATATCTGGACCCTTAAAGAAAGTAACATTGACCACTTTATTTCATGGCGCATCCTTTCATCAAGGTCGCCCTACAACAGCGCAAACAAAGGATGCAACCTCCGCCTCAAAGAAAAATTACTCATTATTCGCCGACCCGAATTATCATCACTCAGTAAACGTAATGAGCTCATGTCCTCAAGCCACCACAGAAACAAAACGTTACTGCGTAACAATTGAAGTATTATTTTTATGCAAATTTATAGAGTATACAAACGATGGTACGAATATTCTTAACAATAAAATTCCCTGATGAGTGAGCAATCACGAAACAGGCTTGTAGGGATGAAAGTATAGTCTCTGCTTTTTCCCCTATCGCAACATATGAAAGAAGATCGTCAGAAAGACTGCATATAAATTGAAAAGTAGCCATGTGATAAAGTTCCACATCAAAATCTCCGAGGTCATATTTACTGGACAACTCCTTTAGACCAAGGAACGAATTAAGGTGCTTTTTCAGCGCCAGTACGGTGTTTACATCGTTAATAGGAAGGCGGCTTCTGTGACGCTCAATTGCCGTTTCTGAATCAATTCGATAAAAGCTTACAACAGCTTCTAAAATACGGTCATCGCGTAAGTTGACGATCGAGTTGAGTATCAAATATCATATAACCGATATGTGACTTATGGCCTTGATGTGGATGGTCCATGCGGTGATATTAACGAAATATGACATTCTGGCGTACTCCTACTGATATGTAACAAAAAACATACTTTTATTGGAAAAAATAAATCAACTGCCCTTATTTTGCAACCAGTTTTTAGGATATTTAGGGCGATCCGGTTTTTTGTCAGCTGTCATTAAAAGTGCACCACAAATGTCAATTGTCCGTTAGATCTTCAGCGATTTGTCAGTTGTCAGTTATCATCATTCAGACCCTCAAACAAGGCCACACCACAACACCGGGAGCAGCGTTCTCTACTTTTCGCGAAAAGTGCGAGGATTCCTTACGTTCCATGTTAACCAGTGCTGAGAAGATGCAGAAAATGGGGCCTGCAGTTTATCATCCTGTTCCGAGAAGACTAAAACGTCTAACAGTTAACAGATGTCATAGCAAAGTCAGCTCATTCTCCCCAGTCCTTTCAAGACTATGAGTGTTGGTCCGGTCTGAACCCTCGATGTCACGCACGGCAGTCCGGCGCCCTACAACATAAGCAGGCGGTGGTTGAACAACCATTCCGGATTAATGAAAATGAAAACCGATGTTATGCGAGGTCCAGTCTCAACTTGGCGTATAAATAGTGAAACAGCGTCATAGCTACAAAATAGAATCATGGATCACGAAATAAACAATGATACACGATTTTCTGTTTCGAGTTCGATGAGCTCATATTCAGCTTCTTCAATACTGCTGGTGTTACCAAGTGCATCGTTTTTTGTTTCACTCTAGATTAATTTTTCAATCCTTTTTTAAGGAAACACTTCTTGTAATAAGAAATTGTTGTATTACAATGTCCGAAATTAAATGGGTTTTCCGGCGAGCTGAGTTTTGGTGCAGCGGATCTTTGTTGTCGATGCTCTTATTTAAAAATTGTATTTTATTCAAATTTACAATCAATACTTTTGAATAAAAAGGTTGATACATGTCCGCTTGTCGATAAGAATTTATCTGCTTGAATTGAATTATCTGTTTGAAGGTGTAAAAGATGTTATGAACACTTAATGGTAAAATTCGTACCACGCGCGATTATCCAATACCTCATATATGCATGTGCATTACTGTACAAGCGTGAGCTTAGGAAGGCTGTACATCAGTACAATTTCCCTCACTGCATTTTAAGGACCGAGACGAAGGCTTCGTCAGCAAAGGATCAAAGGATGTATTACATGGTAACAAAATATTTTCATGCACCATTGAATTACCAAATGAATCTGCGAGTTTTTTTTTATTTTTGTTGTTGTGTATGTGGTCATTTAGGACGAATCTATGACCTCTGTTTTGGCCAAAAATGCTGGAAAAGCTATTATTCACGTAACAAAAATAAACTATTTAGTTGCGAAATTATACGAAGTATTCAGCAGGCTACAAGCATTTCTTTTTTCTTTTTTGTGGGGAATCAAAGTAGGAATACAAAGAAAACAAATTTTGCACTCTCGGGTAGCCGATCAGAGCACAGGTTTCATATTCGCTCGCGGGTCCCACTTTAACGTATAAATAGCAGAGAAATTGGGAAAACGTGTCAACAAAAGTGAACATTTCAACACCAGAAACACTATGACCACGATTTCTTGATCACGTTTTAAAACGAAACCTCGTTAACGACACGATTAATTATTCTAGTTTTTGAAACGCTTTAGAACATCGATCCACCTCCTCGCGAAACTTGACACGATAATCGTCGACGGTGAATAAATTTTTGTCTTCAAATGTTCGAGCTACGTATCTACAAGGTGGTTAGTAGTATCACCTCTAAATGGTTATCTATCAGAGTTCGGTTTTAGTGGATATACCTTTCCGCGCGATGACGGACTAAACGGGCACAATATTTGCGTGTTTACATCGTACGCTGGAAGATAAAACTGTAGGCTCATTAAATACTGATATTGGAGCAGAATCCTGTACTGTAGGGCAAGACTACCTCAGCAGCTTCACGGAAATTTCCTAAATTTGCCATTCACTGTTATATTGCACAATATTCTTTTTTGATCAGCAATTCGTTCACAAATAATTTTAAAGTTCTCTTTTGCTTTGCGATATCGAAATGTTTGTTTTTGTTTCTTTTTTCATGTTTCATTTCGCTTTCAGTCTACTCCTTCCGCCAATTGCAAATGCTAATATGGCCTAGCAGTTAATTTATTTGATGGCCTACAAGATTATGCTATGCAGGAGTCTGTGTGCTGCGTTTAACTTTCAATTTGTTGTAGATGAAGTTCGTTTATAATAAGAGTATTGATGAATAGGACACTTTCCAGTGCCATCTTCTCCAGTCCCTCAGAATAATCTCGTATTCAGTGCCTTTTTTGAATTCGAAATGAAAAAATCGGGTCCTTCCCCAAAATAATTTGGTAAAGGGCCAGCTACTTCCAGTTATTCAAAATTCCTGGCTCCTTCTAAAATATTAAATAAAAGAGGTCATTAAGTAGAACTTTTAATTCTGTTGAAAAAAAGCTTTGTCCAACAATTTTCGATAGCTTTGAGGGAGATTTACACATGCACTTTGTTGAAGAACAGGGTCGATAAACGCGTTTCTTTAAGCAATAGGCTCGCGAGGTGTTGGTAGAATTCGTGACGGTTACGCAAACCCTCGAAGGTGTTTCGGTTTCGAATAAGTTTCGTGAATTCTCCCAGACCCACAAGCGATAAAATGAAGGAATGAGAAAAAGAGTCTTTTATTGCATTATTTTTAATCCATGCTTATCCATGCCTAACGGGTATAATTAGGTTGTTTATTGCCTTAAACGACATTTCAACAGATGAGACTACGAAAACAAACAGACAAACAATTGAAAAAACAAACATGACACAACCCGCGGAAGTTGACTGGAGCTGTCACGAAACCACAATATGATTAAGTTATACACTTAAGTAATTAACCATAATATGATTAGCTATACAACGTTTTCTTTGGGTTACTTTTATCTGAGTCCTCTTTTTTTTATTTTTTACAACGTAGCGCAGAACAATCGATTCAATTTTATTTCTAACTATGGCAGAGCAACCTCCCAACAACGGGAGAAGAACTGGATGTGAAAAATGAGTTTCTAGACACAGGTGAGAAAAAGCAACAGGGAAAGACTTGGTTATGGTGGTTTTGTACTGTTTGTTTATTAAGTATATCTTAATTCTGGTGCACAATTGTTTGGCTCGCTTCGACTTGAAGGTTTTAAGGAATCCACTAAACACGCCAGTATTAGAACGCTAGTTGTAATTGCACATAGTTGTGATCACTAACAAAGTTGAAATATCTTCTCGGTAATTTCTGCGACAGAGAAAAGTCAAGTTTCTTTAGGTGAGGCTGAACTGAATGTCTGCAACGACCCTTTAAGAGGTAAGAACATCAGGTGAAAAATGATTTATTGAAAGACGCCCCGGTGAAATTTTTGTCACATTTACATCAAAATTTGCGTATGTTCCGTAAATAAGACTTTGAAACAGCAAAAGATTGTTTCTTCAAATTTAATTGGTAGCCGCTTTGCACCAGCTCCTTGCTTTTCATTTTTATTTGTTCCACAAGTTCAAAATTTACTTCATTATCATAATTTTTTCCCGGGTAAATGACAAATTAAGTCGATTTTATCAATACGTTTATACCTCAACAGTGATAAATTACCTCGCACCACCAATTATTCTCTCCTTTTCAGGAGCCAGAGCCTGTGTCGAACTTTGCTTGTATACAGAAGCAAGGAGCTGGCTGCGTGTGGGATTGGACGTATCCTTTAACGAATGTTTCAAACGTCATACGAGATGCTATGCGAAAATCAATACGTTCCCGACAGATTCTTCTACACATAAAGCAAGTGGTGTTCTGTTACAATGCAGTGAGCAGTTTAAAGAAGCTAAAATATTCTTGAGGAGTTCAAAATACACATTTCCATTGCATTTTCGCAAATCCGCTCATGATTTATCTACCCTTAATACGCTTAAAGATTGAAAACAATAACGAACGTCTGCTTCAATTAATAAGGAAGTCTAATGCTGAACTAAAAGTCATAGCAAACAGTTATGAAAGTCTCATCAAGTACCATCAAAGTCTTCTAGAAGTTGCTAGAGAAGTAGGAGACAAGGCCGAAGAGGGAAGAAGTTATGGCAATCTCGGCTGCGCTTATCAAGGTTTAGGACAGTTCAAAACAGCCATCGAGTACCATTAAATTAGTCTAGAAATTGCTAAAGAAGTGGGAGACAAGGCCGGAGAAGGAGGAAGTTATGGCTATCTCGGCAACGCATATCGGGGTCCAGGACAGTTCAAAACAGCAATCGAGTATCATCAACGTCATCTAGAAATTGCTAAAGAAGTGGGAGACATGTCCGGAGAGGGAAGAGGTTATTGCGGTCTCGGCAAAGCTTACCACAGTCTAGGAAAGTTCAACACAGCAATCGAGTACCAACAACGTAGTTTGGAAATTGCTAAAGAAGTGGGAGACAAGGCCGGAGAGGGAAGAAGTTATGGCAATCTCGGCTGCGCTTACCAAGGATTAGAACAGTTCAAAACAGCAATCGAGTACCATCAACGTAGTCTAGAAATTGCTAAAGAAGTGGGATACAAGGCCGAAGAGGGAAGAAATTATGGCAATCTCGGCTGCGCTTATCAAGGATTAGGACAGTTCAAAACAGCAATCAAGTACCATCAACGTAGTCAAGAAATTGCTAAAGAAGTGGGAGACAAGGCCGAAGAGGGAAGAAGTTATGGCAATGTCGGCAACGGATATCGAGGTCTAGGACAGTTCAAAACAGCAATCGAGTACCATCAACGTCACCTAGAAATTGCTAAAGAAGTGGGAGACAAGGACGGAGAGGGAAGAGGTTATTGCGGTCTCGGCAACGCTTATCAAGTTCTAGGACAGTTCAAAACAGCCGTCAAGTACCACCAACGTAGTCTAGAAATTGCTAAAGAAGTGGGAGACAAGGCCGGAGAGGGAGGAAGTTATTGCGGTCTCGGCATTGCCGCGGCTTATCACAGTCTAGGACAATTCAAAACAGCAATCGAGTGCCATCAACGTCATCTAGAAATTGCTAAAGAAGTGGGAGACAAGGCTGGAGAGGGAAGAAGTTATGGCAATCTCAGCAACGCTTATCACAGTCTAGGACAGTTCAACACAGCAATCGAGTGCCAACTACGTAGCCTAGAAATTGCTCAAGAAGTGGGAGGCAAGGCCGAAGAGGGAGGAAGTTATGGCAATCTCGGCTGCGCTTATCACAGTCTAGGACAGTTCAAAACAGCAATCGAGTACCATCAACGTCACCTAGAAATTGCTAAAGAAGTGGGAGACAAGGCGGGAGAGGGAAGAGGTTATTGCGGTCTCGGCAACGTTTATCAAGTTCTAGGACAGTTCAAAACAGCAATCGAGTACCATCAAGGTAGTCTAGAAATTGCTAAAGAGGTGGGAGACAGGGCTGGAGAGGGGATAAGTTATTGCGGTCTCAGCAACGCTTATGACAGTTTACGACAGTTCAGTACAGCAATCGAATACCATCAACGATATCTAGAAATTGTTAAAGAAGTGGGAGACAAGGATGGAGAGGGGAAAGGTTATTGCCTTCTCTGCAGGATTCATCTCCGTCAAAGAGAGTTGAAAACGGCAATTGAGTGTTATCAACGTCACCTAGAAATATCCAAAGATGTGGGAGACAAGACTGGAGAGGCGTGCTCACTTTGTTCCCTTGGAAGCATTTTTGAGTGCCAAGGAAATCTTATGATGGCCTTTGACTGTTATTACTCGAGTGTACAGTTGTATGATGATATTAGGGCTAGTCTTCAACTCAACGATCGGTGGAAGATTTGTTATCGTAATCAGCACCAAAGTGCATACAAAGGTTTGTGGCGTATAAATCTCAATCAAGGTCAAGTTGTGAAGGCTCTTCTTGCCGCAGAGAAAGGACGTGCTCAAGCTCTGAGAGATCTCATGACCACAAAATATCAGCCTGGAGATTCTTCAACGCACAGCGCATCTCTGAGTTGGGTTCCATTGACCACAGTTTTTATAGCTATTAATGGACCATGCGTTTACTTCTGGGTTTACCTCAGTGAAGATAATATCCAGATGAGAGAGGTACATGTCAACAATTATAAGTATGAGGATGAATTGGAAGTTTTCATCCAGCTATTGAACAAAACTGCTCTGAAGGAGATCGGTGTAAGAGATACTGTTACAATCGAAAATCTTCCTCGTGATCCGCCGACAGAAGAGGAAGTGTTCAATGATGTGATCCGAGTTGTGCTTTAAAGAAGCTGCATGACATCATCGTTACTCCTATTGCTGATCTGACCGAAGGCAACGAGCTAAATAAGTAAATTGATTTCTTACTATCAGCCCACTTGCCTCGAATCGTAAGTAATGAAATTACAAACAACTACATTCAAAAAGTAGCGGAAATTAGTTAATAATAACCCAATTAGTAGCTTTTATTGGCATTCTCTTTTTCTACTAATGCTGTCCCTCGCTAAACTGAGAAGGCAAGTGAATCCCTTTCAATGACATTACGTGACATCACACTCACAGTGAGGAGCTGACGCCAGCTATTACCAGATAACAAAGATATTAAAAGTTTAAGTTTTGTAACTATCCCTAAGAGTAGAAAATAACGCTTATTAGTTGTAGCGTTGTTTGTGGATGTAAATGAGCCGGATGCGAATTATGTTTGCTTTATAGAGGCAATATGTGTATGGTTTGTGCTTGTGAATTGTTTAGCGCTGTTCAAATGTTTCCGCTGACCCAACCTATTCAATCGTAACTTCTAATTCAAATTTGCATTGCACGGACGAAGAAAACTTAACTTGATAACGAAATTAATTTTGAAGAAAAATCAATTAGAGAGAATATTTGAGCGGCCAGCACGGTTTGTTTTCTCCTTTAAAATCATCATTTTTTTAAACTGATTTTAGTTCAACCGTTTCGTTGGGGCTTTTTCTTGCTTAACTGCTCGCAACGATATAAATTGTAGTCAAGAGAATATCAACATCCTCTCGCTGCAGTGTTATATAAAGATTTCAAGCCCTGAAAAAAGTCGTCACAACACATATAAGATATATGATAATTTTTCACTTGTGTTTGATATCGCCAATCAGCTGCTGACACGTCACTCGCCTTCGCACCACTCCGTCAGGTTGACAAATGAATGGCAAAGCCTTCACCATCCTCAATCCAAGGTCGTTTGTTGAAATTTTCTCTGATTATGGCTACAAACAAATCTACGACTTTTTTTCGGGGATTGTGGATCGTAATTTTTCCATTCATTAATAAAGCGATTGAGGCTTGAGGCTTTTTCTTTGAAATGTTTTTTTTTTTTAATATTGAAAATAAAATGCATTTATTTAGACCTCACAGTTTCTTCAACTTTAATTTTCTTTCTGATTTATAGTCACCTTAACGGACCATCAAATTTAACCGTTATAGATCGTTATAGTGTGGTTTTAAGGGTGTGGTGATCGAAAAGTCAAAAGTAATGCGAAATAAAACTCTCCTACCTCCACTTCATTGTTTCCTGCTTCGTTCCAAAGAATTTAAATCCGATTTCAATAACTCTTCCTTTCAAGATATCACGATAAACGAAGTGAAAGGTTGGAAACTTCAAATTCAGCTTTCTTCGCAAAGCAACCAAGAAATTCACCATAAAAGAACCCGATTACTCGAAACCACTGCAAATGACAGCTAAAAAAAATTTCTCTTCTAAATTCCAATTCAGATAAGTGGCTCAATTTCACCGCAACAGCCAGAAAGTCACTCTCTTCCGAACTCGATTGAAGCAATTTCGCTTTCTTAGTACGCACGAGTAACTTCGCACGTACACAGATTTGAAAATTTGCAACTTAACGACCGTTATAATCCATCGAATATGCTTGCTTGCATGCACGTCGTGTGATCGAATATGCCCCCAGCTAAACTGAACTGAATTTCAGCCCTCCAAATTTTCAACCTTTCATTTCGTTTTAGAGTGTTAGATATCTGGAGAGAAATCAGTCAATGAAATCGCATTTAAATCCTCTGGGAAGAAGCGGGAAACGATGAAGTGGGTAACTGAGTATAGTAAATAAAATTCTTGCGCACAAACTTCTTAGTTGCGAACCAGGCTTCTCGCTCCTTGTCACTAAGTGATTGAATAATTATGTCACGACATAGTGACGATGCAATTTGTTTACTACGCGTAACCATAACAACTACTCAGGCCAGAAAGATTAACGGTTTTCGATTTACGCTTATATCTGCGATTCAGTGTAATAAGATATCTATATATCAGGTGGAGTTCTTAACTTCTTGTACAAGCTTATTCAAGGCAACGATGAGAATAAACGAGCATCCAGCTCATTTGATGTGCCGATCGGAAATCAAACATTGGCTTTCTAAAGACCGATCGGCACATCATATAATTTATAAATTGGCTATCAAACCATAACAGATATTTAACTGTTAAGATTGTCATTCAACTCATTGAGAGCAAAGTGTTTGTCTGATTGTCTGCTTCACTGCTCGTCTTACTTCATTAATCATCCAGCAGTAAAGAAATGGATTTAGCGTCGAGTTAAAATAAACTAAGACAGTTGCTGTTCCCCATACAACGACTAAATGCCGTGCATAACCGATCAAAATTTCCATTATGCCATATGGTACATAGCAAGCAACTAATGCTAATTGCACCCACAACGCACTGTACACTGCCTTTTTATATCGCGCTGTGTTTAGTGCGCTTGGTTGGCTCGGCTGTTGTAGAACATGATCTTGTACTTGAACCTGACGATGACTGAGAGCGCGGAAAATCTTTGTGTACGACACGAATGAGATTACAATGTAAGATGGAAGAAAGATGCGGCCATACCAAAATGTTATGCGGCCATCTAAAATGTAATATGAAGCAGCAACATTAGATATAACCCAAAAGGTAGCTAAAACGATACGTGTGCGCTTCAAAGTGACAGTTTGTTGGTATTTTAGCCCCAACAACAGCACGAGAAGCCTGTCCACGCTTATAGCCGTTACAGTCGACAAAGACACCCCACATAAGCCGTAGCTTGTTATGAAAGCAGCATCCCTTATATATGGACAGAGGTTCCAGTGTTCGTAAACTACGGACATCCAATACGTTGCATAGAGAGGCTGGCTAACAAGACCAACCAACAGATCAGTTGTTGCCAAACAACGATACAAGAGTTTAGACGTCGGATGAAGGGAAGATACCTTTCGAAGGGCAACAAGGATGAGAGAATTCCCAAGAAGTGCTGTGATGGAAAGAAGAATGTTGACTGCTGAGAAATATATTGATTGTTGTTGTAATCCACCTTCCGAAGAGGGAGAGCATCCTATTTCTTCAGACGTTTTCGTTTGTGCTCTACCTTCTGTTAAATTTCTTGTCGCCATCGTTTTGCAGTCGTGTCCTTTCACATGTACTTTATTTACGATTGCAGTGAGATTTAACGAAAAATCTCCCTCTTAGAGCTTCCGTACAGACAAGATCTGTTAAACCTTAGATTCGCAAGAATCATCACATTAAGACTTCCTCAGTAGTGATAATCATCTAAAATGCGCAAACTGACAAATTGTTTGTGCTGTCAAATACTGCATTGGACTGAATTCGGCTTTTTTTCATTCGTGCTTTCCATTTGAATGAATCACCAATACTGAGAGGAAAGCAATTCAAAACATATGTATAATTACTTTTTCAGTGTCGCTACAAATGATCCCTCCTTAACCAAATGAACTTTCATTTGTAGAGCGGGTGATTAAATATATCATTCGTGTGAATATGAGACTGAAAGCCTTCTCAGTTCAAGCTAGTTACGTAAATCGCTTCAAGAAAAACTTGAATTCGTTGCAATCTCCAGTTACATAAAACTGTTTAATATTGAAGAAATGTAAAATGGTTTCCGTGTTTACATAGCCTGATGTAAACACGCGGGAGGTTGGGAGAACACGAGATAAGCGTAGGAAATGTAAACATGGCTATGTAAACTCGGAAACCATTTTACATTTCTTTTATAAAATAACTAATGAAAGAGGAACGAAAACCGTGTTTACATACGCTCATGTAAAATGGTTTTATGGCCAATCAGAGCGTCTCTTGTTTTCAAGAAATACGATTGTTCTGAATAAAATTTCATTTAAAATCTTCACTTCAGAAATCGGCAAGTTTTCTCCTTTTATGCTCGATCGATTAATAATAATCATAGTAAAAGCCTTATTCGAGTCTCAAATTTTTAGCCGAGCATAAAGCTCTACGCTTAATCGAGGAGACAGTATATAATTAAAAAACAGACCTATATATGCAAGTGTAATTCGAAAAGAGAATACGTGAACATGTTTATATCTTTTATAACTCTAGCTATATTAAAAATCTATGGGATACGAAAATGTGAGAATTAGAGTCTAGCAGATGCATTTATGAGTAGCTAAAACTAAAACTAGTTGGCAAGCACCTCAAGGCCCTGTTTTCAAATATTTTTCTTGAAATTACTCAAGGTTGGTTTTCCTTCAACTTTTCAGAGGTATGAAATAACAGTAAAGTATGAAACAACAGTAAGAGGTAAATAGAAAGACACCTTTAATATGATTTTTTTTTACAGTGTAATGACTCGTACTAGTGATGTCATTTAGCTTGGGAAAAATTTAATTATGACATTTTCTGAGTTCGCTATACAAATATTCAAAATTAATGTATGGCCACAGGAGCAAACTTATTTTAAGATGTTTGTGTAATCAATTACGTTTTGCAGCTCCTTTATTTCCGTTTCAGATTCATAGTGGCTTTTATGGATAACATGCTAAAGTTAGCCTGTTAAACCCTGGATACAATTTCTTTTTTTTTCAAACATCTTTTGAGCAGAAAGACATGAAAAATATTGTCGTATCACGGAAGCTTTCATGTATTCGGCAAGTGACTGATTTATTCTTATTGCGTTTCCCTTGAGCGATAGTCCTTGTAATAGAATGAAAGTTATGCCTTTTAAACAAAATTTATTATTTAGGAACCTCTTGTTGCTCTCGACTACGTCTTTAGCGACTCTTACTTATCTTTCAAGCTCTCAAAACTTCCCGCGTGCTTCAGATTTTAATGAACGCATGAATCCATTGTTACCTGTACCCTTTAAGTTAAGAGAATTTGGCTCGCTCTGACAAAAGGCTTAGACTTGAAAAGTGAGCCCTTTATGGTGGCTTATTTACATTATCAACTCAGTCGATAAAACCAAATTATCTTGTAATACCCTTCACTGATGCAGCATCACAGTTTCTGCAGAAACTTATCCCACTAAAAGTTGAAAAGTAATTAATCATCCAGGACACACAAAGAATTAAAAAGTTACGTTAAATTTTGGAAAAACGAGAGATTTTGAAAAGAAAGTTAGACAGGGAAGTAAAATGTAACTCACATCTCGATTGCTTCTTGACCAATGCATGCAAACCGTTATGTTCTCCTTTTCGATTGTGTATTTCGTATTTAGGATAAGTGCTTTCGCTTCTTAACAGATGGTAAGTGATTCCATGAAGAATTCATAAAGAATATCAAAAACAGCTTGCACGACGGCTTACTGAGCCTCTCATTTCTTGTTTCAAATACGGGCTCTCTTTATTTCAATCTGATAACCGTGACTTTGTAAGTCAGCTTTGAAAACACTAAAAGTGAAGTGCTTGTCTGATTTTCTGCTTCACTGCTCGCCTTACTTCCCTAATCCTCCAGTAGTAAATAAACGGGTTTAACGTTGAGTTACAATAGAGAAAGGAAAGTGCTATTCCCCAGTTGATGACTAAGTGTGATGAATATGTTTTACTTAAAGCATTCACAGTTTCCACTATAGTAAATGGTACATAACAAACAACAAATGCTAACTGCACCCACAAGGCACTGTACACTGCCTTCCTGTACCGCGCCATGTTCAATGCGTTTGGTTGGTTCGGCTGCTGTTGAGCGTGATCTTGTACTTGAGCCTGATGATGACTAAGCGTGCGGAAAATCTTTGTGTACGAGACCAGTGAGATAGATAGGCACGATGGTATGAATAAAATGCTATTCCACGTGGCTATACGGGGATCTAAAAGGTAGCATATCGCAGTGAAACCAGATAACACCCAAAAGGTAGCTAAAATAATATAAGTACGTTTCAAAGTTACGAGTACTCTGTACCTCAGCCCCAACAACAAGGCGAGAAGTCTATCCACGCTTATGGCCGCCATCGTTAACAACGACACTGAACATAATGCATAAGCTGATACGGAGAATGCGTCGTATGCAAATCTACAAAGGCTCCAGTGTTCGTAAGAGACGGACATCCAATAAGTAGCATAGAGAGGCTGGCATACCAGGCCAACCAACAGATCAGTTGTTGCCAGACAACGATACAAAAGTTTGGACGGAGGATGAAGGGAAGATTCCTCAGGAAGAAGGACAACAAGGATGACAGAATTTCCAAGAAATGCTGTGAGGGAGAGGAGAATGTTGGCTGCTGACAAATTAATTGATTGTTGTTGTAATCCACCGACCAAAGAAGGGGAACATGCCTGGTCATCAAATGATTGCAGATTTCCGTCCCGTGCCAAATTTTTGGTCCCGTTCATTTTTAAAGGTAGCGTAGTGAACGGTCGTCTCTTTTTTCCGTCTTCAATTTCAGCAATTTGCATTTCATCTTTTCATCACCTGCTGCTCAATCAATATCAAAACACACTTTCTTTACAGAGTTGACATAAAACCTCCAACAGCATGAGACTTTATTCAGGACAATCGGATTTCTTGGCAAAGAGAAAAAATATTTATGTTATTGCAACCTTATCAACAGTTGTTTCATTTTTTTCTGATAGTTATTTGTAACTGTATGTAACGAAATTTATCCTTTTCTTGACGGCACCTGCCAGGCCTCTATTTCGTAAATCTGGCTTCCTTAATAAAATTTGCAAACAAACTTCCTCAGTAACGTTCAGTCGGTGAAACTGCGAAGTTGAAATGCTCCCTTTGTAAATTCCTCCCATATAATTTAATATTTCTCCAAAGTTCCAAATTTTCCTAATTTTTTAGCTCCATGAACGATACAAATAATTTTACCGTCAAGGTAGGAATATTTTTCAGCAAAATAAGCAATAAGAGCCAAAATTTAAAAGTTTGTGAGGTTAACATCACTTCACTAGACATCGCAAAATCAACACATACTTGGGAAAACTGCCAATAGGCTGAATTATTTGCTGTTAATATCAGTTTTGACAACAACTTTTAATCATTCTGGAAACAATTTGAATACAAACTTAGAATCTGACAAACTCCTCCAGCTTTTTTGTTCTTCTCTATGCTTCACATCCGACTAATAGTGAAAGGGGTGACATATCTCGAAAGGGACGAAATATATGTCCACGAAAAGACTGAGATTATCTGAATATACTGCTGTTTTCTTCATCCAACTGAGAAAGTGACAAAAGTGTTTCTTTATTGCATCGTGGAGCAATAATGTAGCCGCTTTCATTGCTTATCTGAAGTTATGTTAAACTTTGTCCACTGGAATAAACAACTGATCGTGGTCAATATGTTATTGTTTAGTTAAGAAACAACAGACGTTGTACTGAATAATTATGATCAAATACGATTACAAAGGAAATTTCCTGGGAAAGAACCCCAATACAAACTTAGAAGGACTTACCTATCTTTGAGTCATAAAATCACTTGTTTGGTTTCTTTGTCAGCCATCCCAGTGTCTGTGAGGAAAATAATGATAATGAATACAAAATTAATACTTTAGTTTTTAATGAAACGTCAGACTTAAATAGCGTGCGCAGCCGACAGTGTCTATGCCCGCTCATGTCTCTTCATTTTCAACGGTGTAAATTTTATATTGGTTCGTGCGTCAGCATAAGTTCATTAAGACACGAAGCACCCAAGAGGTTTAGAGAGCATAAAAGATGTACAAGAGTTGTTCGACACTTGGCCAAGAGAAAATATAGATTGGTGAGTAATTAATAATGGTTATTAAATTGAGGGGAGTGAAATTTGGTCTTAAATTGTATGCGTGATTTCAACATTGAACGGGCGCGATGGGAGAGTTGGATTTGAATCACAAATGTGATAACACACCAAAATTTCCTGACACGAAGTTCAATTACTATTTTATTACATCAATTTTGAAATCACAAAATGAAATCGCCTAAATGCGAACAACTTAAATGTGTACAAATATTGACTTGATCCTGTACTGAGCTGGTTTGTTAAAAGTTGCAAAGCTTGTCTCTCATATTCCTGCAGTTTACTTGGTTACTTTAAAAAAGCCTTAAAATCTGATTGGTGGTAGTATTTCAGTGAAGCTTTCTCACTGGCTGGGAAAAAGAAGCGATTTAGAGCAAAAAATGGTGCGTTTCGTGAACAAATCGAACCGATGAGAGCCAATGAGGTAGAAAGGATTACTAGTGAATTCAAAATGGATGTTATAAAAGGTAGAATTGTAAATTGTTTTTCGAGTTTTTTCATAGTTTTTCATTATTCATCCCTTCATCTCCGACCTATCATAATAAACTATTTTTCTTATTTCAGTACTCGAATATGACTCAAGATATCAAGGGATAATCGTTTATTGCCCACGGGAATCGCATCAAAACAATTCAATCACTTGCTGTATAGGTGAAAACATGCTTGATATCATAACTACAAAGTTGAACTCGAATATCCTAAAAAAAGTTCACATCCTTGACCAAACATTAAGTTTGCGTGGTTTTATGAATTGGTAGATTGTCACCGATTTAATTTTTTCTCGAAGCAAGTAGACCGCCAGCCTGAACTTCCAATTTTCAGTTGTCCGAGGCTGATAATGGTTTACTTCTGAAATTCACACATTTGACATTAACTCTTAATCACTACCCTATCAATAAAAGTTTGAGTTAAGAGGGATTGGTTTTTTGTCACCTTATGAAAAATGATTACATTGAAGATGTCTCTGTGCTTACCTCTTGACTGGTAAATTAATTCGAAGGAAAGAAAATTGTGAGATGCAAAACTACAAAAGACACGCCTCCTTGATACGTGATGTTTTTCACCTGTCATTTAATTGTCGCATGTAATTCTGGTCAGAAGCAAATCATAGGAAAAAAGGTGGAAGATTTTTTCAAATCGAAATTAAATAAGAGCATTAGTTTTTTTAATTCTTTTGGTATCCCTTAAAAAATTGGATGTACTTGCGGGTTTTTTTAAAAAACGGTTAGAGAGAAATTAAAATTTCTCTCTAACCGTTCGTTTGAGTGTATTTTTTGCTCTGTCATATTGCCAAATAATGATGTTGCAGTTATCCTTCAGGCTTTTTCTCCAAATTCAAATGCACACCATGCAAAATGTTTCCAGGCTCAGGCTGGAAACACTTATTAACTCATAAGGCCACAACTTTTTTTTGCAGCCTTCCGACGATGAGAATAAAAATTTTCTGAAGAGATTGGGGTGCTGAGCTGATGATATACTTTAGCCACATGTTATGGTATGATTTAACCGACAAAAAGAACACTATACTCCTACAAACCCAACTACTTTATAAACTTGCTTGAGCCCACTACACACTATAAATTAGGTCACCAATGACACAAACCGATAGTTGTCTCCAAATCTCCTCGAGTAAACAATCTTCCACAGTAGCTCTCTCTCGTTATAGCTTTCCAGACAATCCGTCGCTCCCGACAACATCTACTACTACACGACCGAGTCCTTATATACTTTTCCAAAGGATTTTAGAACACTCCGGAAGCTTACAATACAACAATTTTGGTAGTATTACATCATAACTACATAATCTAACAGAGTGTTCTAGAAAGTTACATAATATGACAGTAGAAAGTTTATATATGCGTGTCAGCACGACCAGGCGATCTGCAAATTTCTAGAAACTTTTCTTTACAGTCATTATCCATAACGCAGTGTACAAAGTTTGTAAATCAAGGCAATTGATGAAACCCAATTTTTCTCCCAACCAAGACATAGTCTGACTAATTATACCTCCTTCGTATTTACCATTTGTTTATTTTTTCATTCAACATTCTGCTGGAATGGTTATGACTTATGACGAACTACATTATTTATTTATAATCTTAATTCTAGCATTAAAAAATAGCATAGCATCTGTGTCCATACAATTCTTTATAATTCCCTTTTTCATGTATTAATAGATTGTCGCTTTTTTCAATCCTCTACTGAAATGATTTACGTCTTGACTTGATATTTTATTTTCAGTTTTCCAAGGTTAATGTTTTGTTTCACAACGCTTTGAACTAAATATCTTACAAATGTCTCCATGCCTGTCTGTTATTGCCAATTCATACCTAAGGCAAATGACGCACAAAAAACCAAAGAAAAAAAACAAGGGTGGAAAAATACTTCTTATTCAGTCATCACACACAGCACATCCGCAGGTTTGTCCACAAACTTTAAGAAAATAATCGCTAATGAGAGATTAGGTGTAAGAAAGTAGGGTTTAAGTGATCGTGGCCGGGCAAGTGCTGTGGAGACGAAATATCTCTCGTTGCAATTTCTGGTATCTGGAGGGGAAAAAAGGAAACGACACTTTATTGAGCTGCAAAATTTTGTCGACAACTGATTCAACAGGAGGAGGAACATAGATGAACGCCAGTTTTGAACAATTTACTTTATCCCCCTCTTTGGCAGATGAGTTGCATCATCGGTCCATTTCTTCCTCAGTGGTGCACATTTTCCTCTCCTTCACTACATTTCTTGGCAATTCTTTGATCCTTGTTGCTCTGCTCAAGACATCTCCATTCATCCGCCGTCGAAACTCTTGTATCGTTGTCTGGCAACAACTGATCTATTAGTTGGTCTTGTTAACCAGCCTTTCTATGCTAACTTTTTGATTTCCTGCACTCTCGAAGGAGAAATTTTCGATTCTTAAATGACGCGTTTTCCCTAACAAGCTCTTTGTTCACTATGAGTCATAATGAGCGTGGACAGACCTCTCGCCCTTTTGTTAAGGCTGAGATACAAACTGATTGTAACTTTGAAGTGCTTGTAAGCTATCATAATTCTGTTTTGGGTTACATCTCTCGTCACTGCTTTATCGTACATTTTGGATCACCCTGTAACTAAGAGGTGTAGCGCTATAGTTACACCATTGTGCCTATCTATCTCACTGGCCTCGTACGCAAAGATTTTCTGCACTCTCACATGTCATCAGGCTCAGGTACAAGATCACGTCCAACAACAGCCGAGCCAACCAAATGCATTGCCATGGCGCGATACAAAAAGGCAGTGTATAGTGCACTGTGGGTGCAGTTAGCAGTACTTGTTTGTTATTTTCCATATCATATGTTGGCAATTGTAATCAGCCAGAGTAAAACACATCCATCTTACCCAAGGGTTGTATGGGAAATTGGCAGTTGTCTCAGTTTACCTTAAATCGACTTTAAACCCGTTTCGTTACTGCTGGAAGATTAATGAAGTAAGAAAAGCAGTGAAGCAGACAATCGGGCAAGCACTTTGCTGTACATGGAGTTAGATCCCTCTTAAGTTTTAATTGTCGTAGTGCTCTAAAAACTGACTTTTAAAGTTCACAGTTATTGTCAAGAAAAACTCGTTGGATATTTTATTGGAAGGAACAAATAAGAGGCACAATTTAATAGTCGCGCAAGCTGTTGTTGACATTCTTTAAGAAATGAATTTGAAAGCGATCTTCACAGTAATGAACACTACTTAGGCAGTAGTGAAAATAAGGCCTGAAAAAAAAATATTCAGGCCTATTAATTTCGTTTCCAAACAATAAATTGCTTTACTGCTTTCATACTACCCCACAAAGTTGAAGATTTCAACAAATTACATAGATCAGATCTGTGTATCACCGAAGTTTATATGATAGGATGAATTATATACGCATTTTGATTGGTTCTTACTTATGATCTTAATGTAGGACAGACACATAAACGACGTCACCTATAACAACCTTTTTTTTTTGGTATGTACAAGCATGTAATTCAGGTATTGGAGAATGGATGTCAGCAGCCTAACACATCAAGCTTGTAAATTGTAATTCTTCCAAAAAGATCCGTACTACTTGAAAATAGGATCTTTAAAACTTTCATCCTCCTTGAAATTGTGACTGGAAAAGTCTTTACTCCATGTTAAGGCATTCAACATACACAAACAAATCAATCTTTTAGAAAAGGAAGAAAATTCTGCAAATGGCAAGACACAATTACTACAATATTTACCACAGAATGCTAGAAATAGTACAATATCTTCCTCTGGAAAAGAATTCTTAAAAAGCATGAAAAGAATCAAGGATGGGTATCATACAGGGACTTATGTCAGTTTTTTTAAGATAGAGAGATTCCAATCCTAACACATTTAGCCAGAAACCTATTTTTGGTGAACACTACCAACCTTCCATTTTCACCACAATCCTTTGTCATTCTTCTGTGAGATCATGGACTCTTTTGCCTTAGGGGCATTTTAGCTGGACTCTGAGGATGTCAGGATTTAGTGATGTACTAAATTGCCTTGACTTCACGCCAGGTTTGTGTCCGTTCAATTGACTTTGATTGCAGAAATGTCAGCTTGAGGTTTGTAATTATAAAAACTGCCAAGGACTCCTTAGGGGGCTTGTGCCTTTTCTTCTTTTAATTTCATTTTTTGCACAAGAGTGCCACTTGGATTTCCTACAAACCATGGCAAAATGATGTTACATTACCAGCATCTCATTTTGTATTCTACATCAGCTATCTTTAATTTGCCAAAGGATTACCTTGTCTTCTAGTCCATTAGAATTTTCTTATCCTGTTGTTTTTATGACTGGGCCCTAGTATTTAGTCGAAGAAAGTTGTTCAATTTGCTCTCCATGGGCTTATCTATATGTAAAGTTGCTAAAGGATACCTGAAGTGTATTAAAATCATCTGGATAAAATTCAAAGAATGGTGTTAAGCTGCTAGATGATGTTCCACCTTCAAGACAACACTCCTTTCCTACAAATCCACCCTGAAACTGAATCTGAATTTCCTTCACACAAACTTCTTCTGGAAATTCCAGGATAACAAATTGAGGTGAACCCTGTAAAACAGTAATTACTGAAAATTTACATACCACCCATTGGTAGACCAAATGGTGAAAAGATTCAGGAATGTCTCTCTTCCCAAATTTGGGCATATACTAATTTTGTTAGTGATTCAGACTGCCAAGGCAACTTCAGCACAAAACCATTTTTTTCTTTAAAATATCTCCACTACTCTTAATTTCATCAGCAACATTTTCATTAATGCAGCCCATAACTTGGTGCCTAAATAACAAAGCAAATATTGAGATTCCAAGAGACTGTTTGCTCCTTGTGCTACCTTTGTTCATTTCATGTGAGGAGAGCTATGAAGTGTAAAATAATGGTGCAATTTTGCCATCTTTGTACCCTCCTTTTTTTTCTACATTACAATGTGAACAGGCTAAGACATGTGACAAATATGGAAGCTGCAAAACTTACTGACTTTAACATAAGAAATGAATACAAAGACAAAAGAGATTTATGAATGACAGTGTTGATGCCAGTGTGTCCAAGTATAAGGGTACAGGGGAATTCCTGTTCATGAAACTTGATGGTAAGTTTCACTGGAAATTCTGCTTCAAACCATCACTAGTCAAGAGAACAATCATAGTACTACTATGAGTACTAATACTCATGGTTTATTCAACCTTTAGGGTTTACTCAATCAGTCTATCTACCTTTAACCATGACAACAAGTACCACTGACCATTTAACATCGTAAAAACACCCCAGCTCCCCACCCCCCTTCCCTTTCACCCCAGCTTTTATTTTCCTTACTTGATCTGAGTTCCAACAAGTGTCTTCATTTTTATCAAACATGTATTTCTTTCCATACTGGTTAGAATCACGGTTCAAGACAGAACTGACTCTTGAAAAAGGAAAATTGATAAAGATTTATTAGAGAATGCAGCCCAGTGTTGTAACAACATAGCTGCTTTACATGTAGCATCCAGTTGAGGCGTTGGAGCATAGTCATTTGCTGTTTTCAAAAGTTTTGAATTTGGAGAGTGTAGGAATCGAAACGAAACAAATTTATGCTTGTTGAGAGGAAAATTTTTCTAGACCAAGTCAGTATCTGGCCAACTGCGCATTTGTCCCTCCCCTAGCTCAACATTAACCTTAAGTTGTTATCAGTTGACAGTTGTTTAATTAGGAGAGAGGTAGGTGCATAGTTGTTCAGGTACTGACATTAATACATTTTTCTCCTATTTTTGGCGAAACCAGGCCTACAGCGACTTCAGCCTGCATCTTCCATGCACGAGAAAGAAACGATCCGAAAGCGTAATTGGTAAAATTAGCATATGATAGAAATCGTACAATCAAATATTATCATACATCATGAAAGGACAACACATCAAACTACGCGTTTCACAGCTCACCTCACTTTGGTTTTTTCTGTCAATAAGGAGACCGATTCACCCGCCATGTTTTGATTTGAGAGCACATTCTGAGGAGCTCTACACCACAGAGATAAGGCTGTAGATGATAAACTGCTGACCGATTGAATCGACAAAGAGGGAAAATGGCGGACATGGCAGATGATCTTCAAAGGAAAATGTAGCTCCTTCATTTGAAGACAGAAATCTAATAATATCTTAGGTTTTGTATAGCGTATTAGCACTATAGAGGGCCTGAGACGTTTTTACCTTGTTCTTCATTAGTATAATAGAATTGTTAGTTCTACTAAACAGCGATCAAAATTTGTCCTAATGTCAGTGAACTACGCAGCTGGACTTTCTTATTATCCCCACAAAGGAAAATGTGGACAGCCTGAGGTAAAGAAAACCATTTTACAATGCTACATTTAGAGATCAAAGCAAGAAAAAAATAATTGATCTAATACAATTGTCATGATCAATCCTGCAGCTTTTCGACTCTCCCGAACAGCTAGAAATCAAGATGGCGGAGTTCACAAAGCTTTTTCGTGAAGCTAAACACATTGTATTTCACACGGGAGCTGGTGTGAGCACATCAGCAGGAATTCCAGACTTTAGAGGACCGAAAGGTGTTTGGACCTTGGAAGAAAAAGGAAAAGCTCCACAAATGGAGACTACGTTTGATGATGCCAAGCCGTCTATTACACACATGGCTTTGGTTAGACTAGTAGAGGAAAATTTTGTTCAGTATATTATCAGTCAAAATGTGGATGGTTTGCACATTAAGTCAGGACTAGCCAGGTAACTCATTTTTCCATGACAAGTTAAAATTGAACGAGATAATTCAAAAAAATTGAAAAAAGGTCAGACTGGAAAACACTGAGCATTGTCAAAATTTCAGCACTGAGATGCATGCACGGGAAAAACGAAATCCTCAATGAATGGCAAAAGTATTGCCATGCTTGACAATTTTTTTAATTTTTTCTATATCTCTCATTTATCTGCCCCTCTACCCCATCTGAGTGTTACCTGCTGCTTGTGTTGGTGGAACAAAATGCTAACCACCATGCAACATTGTTTGGAGGGAGATAGGGGAATTTTAGGAAACTTATTAAGCATGAATTATAAGATTCTGTTTATTATTCTAAGTGAAGGTTTGTGAACCACCTACTATGGGAAGTGTGGTGACTACTTTTGCCACTCATGGTAGGTGAATGATTTAATAAGTAATTGATAAGCTCTATCTGTAGTATACAGGTTACCACTCATTTCAAGTCTATTACTGTTCTGTTATCAGGTCACACCTTTCAGAGCTCCATGGTAACATGTTTATAGAGAAGTGTGACAGATGTGAAACTGAGTACATTCGCAAAAATGCAGTTACTACTGTAGGATTGAAGAAGACTGGAAGAGTGTGTGTGAAAAAAGGAGTCAGAGGAAACTGCAGGTGTAGTAGTTTGTTTTGTCACAAGGATTTGACAACTCCAAAGAACCTCCACCAATTATCTTTTAGATGACGGAAGATCTTTAACAAATTGTTAAAACCCTTCACATCTTTACATCAGTATGCAAGATCTCCAGTGTTCTCCATACATAAGCTATGAACTTACAAGGAGAATTTTCATAACAATCAAGAGTGCCTTGAGTTCTTGATCATTTCCTTTATTCTCATAACCTTAATGTTTGACTCAAGGGTGGTACTTTTGGGAGAAATTAGATGCTTTTCACTGTTAGAGGTTAAAGGGTTAAAGCACTTGTTACAGGCCAAAGCAAAGTAGAAATGGTGTTAGTTTGGAGTATAGAAGAAGACATCACTGAGATTTCTTGTTCCACTGAAAAGTTAGTGATAGATTCTTACCTTTTTGCAAATGTTAAGGAAACAGAAAAGAAGAACCTTGCATAATTTTTAATGAATATGGGAATTTGAAAGTTGTGTTTGATGACAGGTTTTTATTTCCATAAAGTTTTATTTACACTTTTAGATACCCAGGACATCGTGCACAGGCAACTCTTGCTGAAGTTCAGAATCTCTGAACTGTAGGCTCTTTTTCAAGTTTCATTTGGAGTGATTTTTTACTTTATCCTTCCTTTAGTGTTCAAAACCTTTGTTCTTTTATTTTTGGCCTCTGGTGGTGTATAGCTGTGTACGCATAACTTCACTTTCCTTTAGCACTGCTGGAACAAAAAGAAATGTTTGCTTGTTTTGATTTGATAGGGGTAAACTACGAGATACAATCCTTGACTGGGAAGATTCTTTGCCTTATAAAGATCTTGTTATGGCTGAACATCACTCAAGGTAAAACCATACTCAGCCCAATATAAATGATTTCAAATTTACCAAAAAGTTGCCATAAAAATACTGCAATAGTGTTTGTTTCATCAGTTGTGGGTTTTTGGTTCACTGTTATCAAACATCTTTATTGACGACTTTACTGCCAGACAATAAGAACTGCGTTCGTATCCTAAAAAGAAGTTACATATTTGTTATGAAATGCTCAGATAATAAAGTATACGAAACGATTTGATATTTACCCAGTGAGTCGGCTAGGTCCACAAATGACTTACATTAGTATTATGACATCACTATAACGTATCTCATTAGCGGATAAATTAACTTAATGATCCATTAAAGAATTTCTCGGCGAAACAGTGTTCATGTTAATTTTTTCCTGTATAGAGGTCCATTGAGTCACATGATGTTTTTGTTTTGTTGAAATTTTATGCACAGTATTCATTCAAACTCTATAAGTTGTTCAACACTCGTGATGTACATCACACTCTGATGAGGTGCTATTTTTGCTCATCATCAGCTAGTTTTAAAAATTTTCCTAAATTTATTTTAAAATGATAATCACTACTACCATAATCATTTTATTTCTCCCCTCCCTGTCTGCCCTAAAAAAATTAGGGTGGACAAGTGAATGATGAGGACATTGTGATGCCAACTTCTGCCCCATAATAAGATGCCTTAGTAAATGTTCTGAGTATTAATTGCTTTACCATATAGAGACAAAACTAGGCAGTGGAGTTAAAATAGTTTTGTGTTCATTTCAGGCAAGCTGATTTAGCAATTTGCCTTGGAACTTCCCTTCAAATCCAGCCAAGTGGTAACTTGCCTCTCTTCACAGTCAGAAATAGTGGAAAGCTTGTTATTGTAAATCTTCAAAAAACAAGACATGTAAGCTTTATTGGTGTGATATGGGTTACTCAGCAGGAAAATGTATTTTACTGGTGTCTTGCAAAGTATTTTTGATTAGAGATTTGTACTTTGTGATGACCAAGTTCCATGTAATTCCATCAGGAGCTCCCTCTCAGAGAAAATGAGAGCATTTGATTTTGGGGGCATTTATTCATTTTGTTGAATAACAGTTTGGAAAAACTTGTCAACCTTTTTGGACTGCAGAGTGAGTGACATCTATATGACATTTGAAAACCTTCTTTCGGTTATGAATGAGTTTCTCTGATGCAACAAATACTTAACTTGATCATGGAAAACACTGAAAAATTTTTCCCTCTTATTTGAGGTACAATTTATGAAACCTTGCCTAGGGAAAGATCTCTTTTATAAAGAAAAATAACAAGTTGGGTTGGCTGGGTTTAACACATACATCTGTACATGACAAACAGAGAGTACAACCAACATGTGACCTTTTTGTGCAGTAGTTTGTTATTACTCTTTGTTCCACAAAACCCCCAAAACAGTATTGGCATGTGTAACAGCACATGGCATGTGAAAAAAAATGTAAGGTAGAGGTTAGTTATAGAGAAGGAAGATTTTGATTTTTATATACTCAATAAATGAGCACAGTGGTGAATAAGAGATGTTCTTTTCCATCAGGATAAAAAAGCTACCTTGGTCATTAATCATTATGTTGACGGTGTAATGAAGGAACTTATGGACAGACTGGGAATCTCAATCCCTTCTTTCACTGGGAAGCCATGGTGGACTGACTCTGATAGTGAAACAGAATATCCTGCTAAAAAAGAGGAAATGGAGGAATATGAGGAAAAACATGAACTGAGTCATGAAACTTGTGAGGAGTTACCAGTAAAGAGGTTAAAACAAGACTTTGAAAAGGACCCTCATGACAACAATGATCCCTAATTTGTTTTTACTTGTCAAAATGAATCATATACATCTTCTTGGTAGAGCTAACCTCATTTTGAAACCTTTTTCTTTGTCAAAGCAAAACAATTTTGTGGTGGTTAAGTTTTGGGTTGTACCCTTTCATGACTGAAAATGGTAGAGATTTAATTTTTAGTTGTGAGTCAACTGAACTGTGACTAGGAACCCATTTCTTGAGAGTCCTGGTAACTAAAGGGGCCTGAATGGAAATTTAAATAGAGAGGCAGGTTCTCACATTCCAACCACTCCATTTTGTTGCTTTAGCTGATAGACTCCTTGTAACTATTGAAACCCCCATCTTGAATGAAAACAGAACAGATTTGCAAGCCTGTTAAGTTACCTGGACCATTGAGAAACAGGCCTCAAGCTCATGTTGACTGCTGCATACTATTGTTTTCCTATAACATTGGCCCTTTACCAGAATATTCATTGCTTTCATAACTTCTTGAGAGCCCACAGGATATACTGAATACATCATGGAGGGTTTTAAGGTATTCATTTCAATTTGATGCATTCTTTAGTGAACCTTCAACCAATCCTAAAATTGGCCATGAAAACTATGTGGCATGTAGAGTACACAATGGAACAGGGAGCCAAGAGGTTTTAACCCAAAGAGAAGCCTTTTCACAATTCAGTCTATATCAACTTGGTCTTCCCATTTGGTAGAAAAATAAATCAAGCTACTAAGAGGGAATATATTCTTACTTTTTAACTTTAAACAGTTTAAAGACTGGTAGTCCTTGAAATCTTTTCACGTTTTTTATATTATTTCTACTTTTAATTTATTTAACTTACATAGTTATTGAAAAGAGCTCACTCTTTATATCTAAAATACAGGTAAGAATATTTATGTTGTGTTGAAGAGCAGCACAAAATAAAGAAATTGAATGGTGCCAACAAAGTGGTCCTAGTATGTGAAAGTTCCTTGGAATAAAGGAAAATGTTGCAGCATTCTGATAGTTTAAGTGCATTTATAATGGTAATAGGACTGAGTGGATTCCAATCCAGTCTGTAATCATACAAGTGATTGACAAAATCAAGTGACAATGAAGTGGGAGTTTGATTCATTAATCCTAAGTATGATTACAGACAGAATTAGACAACACAAAGTCCTGTTACCAATGAATCAAAACTGCGACAAAATCTGAGAAAGAAAGAAACTAGACTTTGCTTATACGTTTTATAAAAAAAAAAACAGTAACTTAGCAAAATACAAGACAACAAGGCACACACAACACATTCTGTCTACTTACACAGGCATGACATCTTAACTGTCCAATTACAAGCATGATGCATACACTGTCCTATTTAACAAATAGATTCCAAGTTGCTGTGCATCTGTTCAGTAATAGATCACAGATGACGTCAAAATGCGGTAAGAACAAAAAAGTGGCACACAAGGCGCAGCCAAGTGGGTCACTGATGTTCTTACCACAATCAAGGGGAAAATTACACCACACCTAGGATAGGACTGTGCAGTTTGCAAATGACCAAGCCCAGTATTGTAGACATAAATACAAGAGAGGAACAGCACAGTTCAAACACTTTATTCTAATTTTTCAATTGTTAACTGTAAATTTCAGAATTTAATGTTACACTGTTTCAGCCTCCTCATTAGGCTTTCAAAGTCTGAAGAATGAAGAAGTGCGAGGGACTATGGAAAGGAGAATAACTTCAACCATTACTTTGTTTCTTTGTCTGTCCAATTAGTTTTTCAACAGAAGACCCCTGAGTAAAAGGGATTTATCAAGCAGTTTTGTTGTTCACTGCTCTTTTCCATTTACATCCAGCAATAATTGACGGGCACTGATGTAAGCTTTGGTTGATATCACCTTAACAAGGTGCCTATGAGACTTGGGTGTTCCATGCTGAAGCTTTACATGTAGCTTCATCAAGTGGTTACTTCTTTTTCTTTTATCTTCCACTGTCTGCTGTCTGCTGCTAAGCTCAGCAAATAAGGAGAGACCTATGAATGCAAGCAGAGAAGCTAAGAAAAGTCACTACAATTGTAATAATTGCAAAAAATGGTGGTTTTTCATCGTTGTATGTACATGATTTAAAGGGAATACTATCTTTGCAAATTAAACATCATATATACCTGAATGACATAAATTGCACATCTTCTATCCTTATAATAACTCAACAGAGTTAAAGCACTCCACAACTTCACCAACCCACTAAAAAGACAGAGGTAAGATTAGCAAGTTATATCTTCTCAGAAGCAAATAATACTATATTTTTGTGCTCTTTAACTAATTTTACTTCAGACAATGTGAAGAGAATGGCTTCAAATATAAACCTGTGCAAGCAATTGCAAGATCTGATGCTCACAAGTCTGTGTGATCAATAAAATCCAAAGGCCAACCAATCTCAAGAGTGTGAAAAAGACAATATACTTAAATCAAAATTGCAGAACTGAGCTAAAATAAGTACTTGTTCATATAAAAACAGCCATCTGGGAGATAGTGTTTAATTTTCACCTCTCTTTTACTCTAAGTATGGCTTCCATTGAACTAGCTTCAAACTTGATGATGTCAACACCAATAGCAGAGCCTACCTATTTGATGATGAAAAAAGGTTCATTAAAAAAAATTGGGAAACATCTGCCTCTTGACTGCATGCCAACTACCAAAAAAATTAAATACCTGGTAATAAGTAACAGGTTCCAATCCAAAGTTAATTCCAAGATGGTTTTGTTATAGTTACTGTCGCTACATGACAGGTTTTTGCCTTGTTTTTACAAACTTAAGATAATTGAGGTCCAAATAGCCTTTAATTTTCCTCATAACTTAACTTGTTGGCAACTTTGGAAGGGGAAGCAAATGGCACTTTGAAAGATCTTTGGTCTTGCAGACTTTCATCTGATCACAAAATTTTACAGTCTTTGCAGTAAGTCTCAAAATGTCATTTGAAATGCACTTATTTTGCTCCTGAAAACTCAAAATGTTTCCTCATGTTCTCTAAGTCTCTTGCTTATTGTTGTAGCTGACAGTCTTGGCTAAAAGGTAGCTGTGAAGTATTGTAGATGGATCATTGTAAGTGTTGTGTGTATGGGGCCCTTACATAAATAGGGTACATGCATATTTTTGCTGACAAAAACCATGCACATCACACAAAAAGTAAAGTAGTAAAAAAAGTGTAAGTATATATTGATTGAAAAAACAAAAATAGATCTGATTCATAATAATCATCATAGGAAGGAGGCAAGAATTTCAGCTACCTTTCCATGTAAAGAATCAAGAGCTTGTATAAGAATACTCTTAAATGTCACTATATCAATCTCAACTGGTGTTTCATCAACTTCTTTGGAAATGTCTCTAGAAGGAATTAACATAAAATGACTGTCTTGGTTAACACCCAAAATATTATATGTTGTATAATAATGGTAACAGTGATTGATCAAAATATCAGTACACTAGCTAGCGAAAAATCTGGCAAAAAGATGATTAGCTGGATTGTGTTATACATCCTTCCGACTGTAAAGCAGGTTGAAGAGTGACAGCTTATGTGAATCTGGTGTACCATCCTAAATAGTTTCAAATTATACCAAGATAAAAACTAATACACAAACAAATAAATAATATATAAAGGATAATGTTTACAAATGTAATATGAATATTCCATATACATTAGAGAAATGTAGCGCTATAGTTTAAAAGTAAATAAAATTGCCGGAGTTCTTGTGTGTTACTCTGGAGCTGCATGTTAGCTTAATGGCATGTTGGCTTAATAGCCAACTCTCCACTCAACAATTTCCCAATAATACAGCGGTTGAAATTATAGCTTAAACACTGAAAGACACTTACATTTTTAATTTTAGGTAGAAGAACTGTGCTTTTTGCGGCAAAGTTAACCTCTCCATGAAACTACAAGCAGGAGTGCATGCCACTGGGAGAGTCATATATCTCACAGTGGAGTGTAACGTGAGCCCGCGTTTCCAACTTTGTGTTGTTATAGTGACTTAATAACATGGCTGACAGCGAAAAGGCAAGCAGGGTTGATGATCCTTTTAAAGTACTCTTTGTCAGTGTTATCGTCTGATATTTGGATTTATTTTCGATAGGAAACTGAGGAACAACTGAAGAGACGTGGTATAGCAAAAGATAAAGATGTTTCAGAGATTCACTTGGCGAACAGGTAGATTATAAATGTTTGTCACTGACACGGGAAGATATAAATATATGTTTTGGACCGTTCCATGCTAACTTTCATATAAGTAATCAGTTTGTATAACAGTTAACTGAAGCCCTTCGGATTACTTAATAACAGTGTGGATGTTTTAATTCAAGGAATTATTTGATGTTTAGCTTTTAAATACCAATCGAAATGCGTCGAGTTTATGGTTCACATTTATGCAGAGTTTGTAATTGATTGAGCTTATTTCGTGGAGCCTTGAGTACCACCTATGCCCCAAAGCGAATAAGCTGAATTTTACACTTATTGGAGGACAGACGCATACATGACGTCACCCTTCTTTTTCTTACCGCATTTTGTTGACATCTGTGATCTATTACTGAACAGATGCATGGCAACACCACATTTATTTCTTAAATAAAACAAATCACAGAGATACAAACCACTGGGGTCTGAAATCTGGGGATGTTTGAGTTTGGATGATGTTCCTACCCCTCCCTCCAACACTCCACCTCCCAAAGTGTTGACAGTCGACAGTCAACAGCCACATACTCAACTTGACTTCCTCCCCATTTTGATCTCACTTTCAAGGTCAAAGCCCTACTAGCATTGAATCTCAAGATGTTCTGGTCAAAAACAAGTAAAACAATTAAAAGAAATACAGTCAATTTTTGTTGATTGTTGTGCTTTTCATACCCACAGAGCACTTGAGGAAGTGGCTGACTTTGGGAAATATAGAAACTTACAAATTGTTTGGTTGAATGGAAATAAGGTGGAATTTTATTATTATCATTCATTTTACTTTATGTGTGTTATCATATGGTTTTATCAGAGGAATAAGGAATCTAAAATAAAATGATGTAATTGTTGTTGTCACTGGGTAATGGGTGGCAAACTTGCTATTGGGTGTAGGTTTAAGCTTTGGAAAATTAATTAAGCTGTGATCTCTGGCTGAAACCCTTACAGTGCCTCTTGCCCCCCCCTCCCCCTCACCCAGGGGGTATAAAGTAAGTCTTAACTTGAGCTAAGTGGTCCACCTAGCCAGAGCCTATCCCAGTTTCCTCGGGAATAACACAAGGAGTACCACTACTCTCTGGAGATGGGATGTCAGTCCATTGTAAGGTCCCTCCACCCCAACATTTTATCAGGCTTCCCTGACAATTCACCGACATCCATTTATAAAATCTAAGATGGAGAGAGGCAGTGTGAGAGTGTAATGTTTTGCCAAAGAATAACTGACCATTGACCCGGCCAAAGCTTGTTGACCAGGGGTCCAGCGCATTGACCATTACACCACTGCACCTCTGATGCACAGGAGTAAAAATGGGTACTAACAGGAAAGCATATTAAAATTTAGAGATGAAACTTGGATGGATTAGCTTTCTGGAGAGGTGTGTTGTACACCTCTATAGCTAGTCACAAACTTGGACAAGCTCAGTCATAATGGACTCTTGGCCCAAGTTCAGACCTATCATTCTATGGAAGATGATTTCAACTTATTTAAACTCAGCTAACCATAAAAAATTTTTTTTTTCCTTTTCTTAACATGTCATTTGGGTTGAAAAGGCAACAACCCTTTCATTCCCAACTGATACCAATAGTAATTATCCTTACTGTCTGCTATACATTTCCTTTAATGGTAGCTCATAGAATTTGGTATTGGATCAACTAATAATCCCCTAATCAATATTTTTCTGTATTCTCATCACTTGTTTGCTTGATATTGTATTGATATTGTGAGGAGATATCTCTCTTGGTCTCTCATGAGAGTTTAAGGGTTCAACCAATCAGATGTGTGGTAATTTTGTTTTTGGGCATAATTATGGGCTTTAGAATGAAGTTTTTCAGGTTTTCATAGCTTACCTGTATCATTGCTGACACCATGTTTAGTACTGTTTTCTTCTTCATTCTGCAGCTGAGGAAGTTGAACTGTTTTAGCTCAAACTATCAACTGAGAGAGTTGTACCTTCAAGACAATATGTTAGTGGAACTGAATGGCTCTTTACACCACTTGACATGCCTTCAAGTATTATTGCTGAATGGAAATCAGCTGGTAAAACTCACTGACATTGTTCATGAGTTAAAAGCCATGCAGTGCCTAAAGACACTTAGTAAGTTGTCAGACAATTTAACCCTATTCACTCCAAGATCAAAATGCATCTTCCTCAGACTTATCTCTATATATTTCCTGTGGCACTATCAGGGAGAATTGGTTTAACAATTAAGGGGTTCTTAGGTTAGTAATCATTTCCTCTGTTCTTGTAACCACAGTGTTTTATGTAAGGTTGATGCTGTAAGGAGAAAATAGATGCTGGTCACTCTTAGGGGTCAAAGGGTTAATTTAAACCTTGTTTATTGGGGTGACATATTACATATTCATAGGGGAGAGTGGTATTTTTTTCTGCTCATTTAGTTAAGTTTAGTTGAGAAGTTATCATCATATGGGGAAAGGGTACTTCATTATATGGGATGTATAGGTGTTTTTGTGTCAAACAGTATAGGTTAACATAAAATTGAATGTGTGCTGGGAAAAAGTGAGTATTTATTGACTGCTAGTTTGTACTTTAAAATTGTCTCATATTTCCTTGTAAAACTCTGGGTGAAGTTGATGTTGAATTGAAAGATTTTATTCCAACTGCCCCTTAAATTTGTGTCTGGATTGTGGACACCAATAATACTGTACACTCTGAAGCTGGAAATTAAGTCTGGCAAAATAATTTTTTTCTTCAATAGAGTAGGTAAAATCACTAAGCAAAACAATTTTCGTATGAACCTTATACAAGAAGTGATGTTGTAATTTATAGTTACTCATGTAACATTGTATTTCAGACCTCTTTGCTAATCCACTGGCTCAGGATTATGACTACAGAAGCTATGTTATACATCATCTACCCTCCATTGAACTGCTTGATAGGAAAGGTAAACAACATGTCGTGACATTTGGTGGAAAAATAATAAGTGTTCAACCTTTCACTCTCAACATCAAGTATCAATTAGCTGCAATGTCTTCCACACATTTTCTTACAATTTAAACTCTGGGAATTATTTTGGTGTTAAATCAGACAATATACACTTGTTGATGCTCTTCTTCTCATTTTCTCTCTGTTTGAACATTTATTGATATTTCAAGGAGAAATTATATTTTGGTCACTATAGATCAGGGTTACAGAGGTAAGGTTTAAAATTGGTAATGAGCGTATTCTCTATGCAGCAAAGGCAACTGAGGTCCATTTCAAATGATGTACTTTTGCTGTTCAGCCAGATTAGACTATGACATAGGGAACATACAGTAGCTATTCAAATTCTGTAATTCAGTGTTTAAAAAAACCCTGACTTGCATGTAGTAACATTCAGTAAGAACCTAAATGAGATAATGAATTGTAGACCCACCGTCAGAAGATCAGTTGAAACAAAGGGTGTACAGATGTTTGCTTTGTAACTACATAGTGCGACATATCACACTATTCTGTGGGCATTCCTAACTACTGTTCTTGTTTCAAAAATGCCAGTAAGAACAATTGTCTCCACTTTTTCAACCTAAAAACATTCTAACCATAGCATATCAGGGAAAATGCCATCATCAAATTTCTAACCTTACATCACAACTTAATTTTGTACATGACCTCTACCTTCTAATATCCAATTCTTTAGAAAAGGATTCTGATACCTTGTAGAGTTCTGACAAATTTTACTTTGTTGTGGGGACAAAATATTAAAAGAAATCAGTTCAATTTCTAGAAATCACCAAAGCAGAAAGGGACAAAGCCAGGAAAAAATACGATTCACATCGAGAGATGGTGAAACAAACTGTAGCTTTTGGTCGACGAGCGGACGGTCCACCGAAACAAGTCTATCACCCCCCACCTTCAGGGATGCTAGAAAGCTTTGGTTTTGACGAAGGTAACTTTACTTTACAGACCAGAGGTTTTTGCCCCGTGTAAGATCACCTTTGTCCCTTCCTCTGTCCAAGTTTTCGTCCAAAAGGATGTTTTGCTGTAAGGATAGCTGTAGAGTGGTAAACAACACGTCTGTATCGAGAACGCTCGGCAGTTGTATCAGTAAGTTTTCTAAAAGCTAGTGAGCGATGACCTACTAACCTCGTCAGACAAACACTTGAGAGCTACTCCAAGGCAGTTTTAGTATCAGAACATATTAGCTGGAATTGCGAATGAAGTGACATGTTCTTTAGGTTTGCAAGAAGAGTAAATGGTGTTTAATAAAACCTGAAAGTCGCTATTATTTCTGATTCTTTACTTTCTTTCCAAATCATTTGACAAAACTCCCCACGAACAAAAAATGACCGCATTTATGAAATGTTCGCACTTACGATTACACAATTAACCGTTAGCCGTAAAATGGCCAAAATTTTTAACCGATAACCGTAAAAGCCATAACCCCATCGAAACCCTCAGTCTTCCACGAAGTTCCCAGTTGTGCATTTTGACTAAGAGATTGTTTGCTTCTTGGTACAGATGACTGTGAAGAGCAGAATGGTGACAAATCTGATAGTGTCTCAAGGTTGGTGCTAATTACATAATAATCCTGTAAGTGACATGCTTGTTAAGATGTTTGTGTAATTGAATCTTTCAGTGACCACCAGGCCATTCTTGCGGAATCGATAAAAAGGCGAGGTCTTCAGCGGTCCGTTATGCAGTACTCCACATTTGATTGGTCTTCCATTCCTTTGTCACAAGAAAGGAGACTTGTTCCAGAGAGTGTACCTGATCAGCCTCGAATTTTAACTGTGCGATTTCGATAACCTCGGCCAACTAGCACCCTTTCCCCCCGACAAGTACATTACCATTCATTGTTTTACAGTGTACCGGTGAAGAAGTTCGGACCCCTATGGAGGGGTCTGCAGCTTTCCCAAACCCACCCCTGCAATATAATACAAGATTCGAATTTTTTTTTTACCTGAAAAATTCTCCCAGACTCCCATAGATACATTCACCATCAGCGCCTACTTTTCATGCCCGACGACGGAATTTTTGTTTCACCGTCCCTATTTCTCTTGTAAATATAAAATTTGTTAATAAAATTTATAGAGAAAAATGCTTCGGTTGATATTTATTCATAATTATCAAGCCAAACATAGCGTCGCTCTAACGAATGGTTAACACTGGAAAAAATTGTCAAATAAATCTCACGCTAAGCTTGGGTGTGTTCCTGTGGTCGGTCAATTCCACCCCAAGCTTCTTTTTCCAGGCGCAGACTGGTGAATTTTGATGATTCATTTTGACGACTGACATGATACAGTAACGGAAACCAACTAGAGGATGGCTAATAATCGAGAGAAGTGTGGTGTAAATGGGACTAGAGGGAATGAATTGTTAGCTAATGATAGGATTGTGTAAGAGATTTTCAATAAGCGACGGGCTTTCATTTTGGTGATCTCGAGAAACGGTAGTTTTATCAAAAAAAAAGTTCTTGGAAGCTTTCTTAGCTTTTTTTCTTTGATCGCCCAAAAGAAATATAGTTTTGCAGGTCCCTGAAAGACCTAAATGTCAATGTTGAGTATTAAAGCAAATAAATGTATAAACTTTGTTTTGACAATTTCAGGTTTAGTGAATTTTTCCAAATTATACAACCACTAACAACCGAACACGTTTGTTCATTTGGATATTAACCCTTTCAGAGAGATAGAGCCCTGAAATCGAACAACGAATTTGCCTCAACAAACTGTTTTTATACTGCATATTCGTGCGAGTACATTTGTTTAACTATCTGGTAAACTGCCCGGTACCTGCTGAGACATGTCAATACACGGGTTTTCGAACCACACCTTTGATAGCCATCACTGTTATCCAAAATTTTACTCTTCAGCGAAAAATGTTGCAGTTTCTTGCAGCTCTGAATTAAAAAAGATTCTAAGGTATGAGAATACATTTTGTCAGCAAAATCGCAACTTTTAACGAAAGGTATTAATTATGTATTTGATGGTAAGTAGATCGATGTCATGTGCTGATGACGTTAACATAATTTATTCAAACTTCCGAGTAAAATATCCCCAATTTTGTTCCTAACGGAACACAACGTGGATTAGATCTGGGAAAAGTAAACAGCGACGAGCGAACACGAGCCTTTTGCATAACAGTCGAAAGTATTTCATCATACTGCTGCATAGAAACAATTTGCTACAAGGAATTGAATAATACGCATCGTTTGGTTGGATCAAACCTTGAAGGGGAATTCGATTTGGAAAGAGTTATTTCGATAATGGATAAGCCCCTCTCTCAAATATACACCGACTTTACTTTTCAAGACGAAATGCGTACGATACATGATTACGGGTACCGTGTGTTGTGTACCATTCTGGTGGGATCTGGCGCGATTTTCGTGGATATCATTGTTTATTTTGCCTTAGTATTGGTGAAGAAAGTGATCCAGAAGCATTTAATCACTGAAGATATGCACTTCGTTGTTGACTTGCTGTTTGGTTTGTTGAATTTAAGTATCACGGCATGGTTGGCGTACTTTGTGGACGGAAGACTGCGAATTTACTGGGCGAAAAAGAAATATGGCTTCAATAATTCATTCAGTTTAATAGATTGACATTAAAATGATTTTTATTCAGCTGAGGTCGAATCCTTCTTGTAATCAAGCCGTTAAATGGTTATCGACCTTTAATAAATTCATCTTATAGCACGCTTATTCATTTGCAAAATTGCGAATCTTTCTAGGTGGTCAGTAAAGGCATTTATAATAAAATTAAATAACTGCCCTTATACTCTCAAGTGATGATTCCTTTGTCTCGTAAACACCGGCTCGTCGATTTATCAAACCTGAAAAAAGGTCCTACGCCGATCGTCGAAAAATTGTTTCCGCATAGAAGCAATGCATAAAATAAACAGAAAATGACACGCAAATTCAAGTAACGACCATTGATTAGTTGAAACTCGTCAAGGAAAAAAGTTCTTTTGTATTATTACGCAGAAACCGATCATATTCAAAATATCACTCTACACTTTCGTTCATAGCGAATAAGATTTTATTAAACGAAAACTAGACGAGCGTATCCATCATATCTTCGTGAATTAAACGTTGCACTGTCAACTGGTAAGCCAAGTTTTGTCGGGAGAGGCATAATTTATCAATTCGAATATTTCCGGCCTAAGAGACGTTCAAGCCGAAAGCAAGTTTTCCATATTCGAATGAAGATCAAGTGAAAGCTACGTTTTTCATGGATAAGCACGCTTTACGCAAGCAATGGGCCTTACGTATTCGCTATAAGATGGTTGTGTTCATTAATGTCCTTCCACTGCTAGCTTTAATAAGCATCTGCTTTAAACCATTTTCTGATAACGAAAATAATGGATTTTTAATTATTATAAACGGGGGCGGGTAGAAGACGCCAGAAAGAAATAAAGTTATAATTTTCATTAGCAAATGCAAATTGTTATGTTTGTTAATGGTGACACAGCGGCAAAATAATGAATGTGGATCTTTTATCACATTCACTAAGTAACAGGATCTGTGAATGAGCACAAATGAGGAGAATGAGCCTTGCTTTATAAAAAAAAGTTCAATGTTTATTTCTCATCTAACAATATTCACACTGGTAACAATGATGGTAAATTCCGACAGATTGTTAAGCAATTAGTTAAAACTATCACAAACTATAAATAAATGTATAACAATACGTTGAAAGAGCAATGTGTTGGCCGATTCCAGGACAATACGGGCCGGTTACTAACACCAGTTCTGACTCAAACCGCGGTTTTACGCAAGCAATGGGCCTTACGTATTCTCTATAAGATGGTTGTGTTCATTAATGTTCTTCCACTGCTAGCTTTAATTCGGCTCTCTCGGCAGTGTTCACAAAAATAAATGTTCCGATAAAAGATTCAGCTCAATTACAGATAGTTATGAGCACGGCTTTGTTTAATAACGGCTAAACTTTGTTTAAATAACTGGCCCTATGAGGTTTCAGTCAAAGCTCGCCTGACTAAAATGTTTTCAAAAGCAGTACATGATATCTAATTGGGGCTATTTCTGAATTATCAAAAAATAGTAAAAAAATAGCAAAAAAAATAATGAAAAATACATTCAGAGAACTCATCAGATATCAAAACCAGAACAGCGTAAACAAACAAGGATTATATCAGGAAAAGAAGTTATATATATTAATATGAAAATCATATAAAGCTTCACCAGGCGAAGCAATATTTCTCTCTACTCAAACACTTATAAAAATACAGATTGGAGTTTCCTGCAGGTCTTAACTCAAGCTTGTCTTGGAGCATTGCAGCCGAGTTGTACATTATGCAGTTGGCTGGGATTCAGCCTTAACAAGCCAACCGCCTGCTCGTCAATCTTTAGACCTTGTACACAGCCAGTGAATCCTTTATGAGACAAACCGCTGTGCGTCTGGTAACCAGAACCATCTGAAAACATAATGACGTGACTTCAGTTTAGCTTCCCTGTGAGAAGCCGGGTTGTTCCCAGGCTGCTCTCCTTTCCCTTCCCCATCACTCTAATAGCTTGGAAGGAGCAAAGTCTGGGAAACAAGGTTTATAGTCTCTCATTGGGTTGACGAAATTTCTGTTGAAAGATTTCCCAACTTTTCTGTTTCAAAAAGGGAATAAAGGATCAATCTTGTCAACACTGTTTTTTTTTTACGGATGGAATACTTAAATATGGAATGTGCGTGGAAAGAAAATATGTACTAAATTAATCCCGAAATAATGTTCTTCAATATTACTACAAGGTTATTTGATCTTAAAGAAATTTTCACCCCAAAAAAATGACTGAAAACATCGAAAACAACTTCTGGAACACGCGAAGATAAACACTGTGCTACCATTTGATTTTACCTGGTACACCGCCGATGTGAAATTTTCCCTGGTTGAGTGTGAAGGCTGAGGGTACCACACCTTGTAGCGGTGCGTGATCATCCACTCTGAGTTCTACAATACCCTTATTCCGCGAAACTAGAACTCTATGAAACTTGTTATCACACAGATGGAAGGAAGCGTTATATTGTCCGTCTTCTGGGATCGATGGATCTGTCCATCGGATCACGGACGAGTTGTGCGCATTGTTGAAAATGAGAACAACCTGAAAATAAAAGCAAAGTTACGATTAAAAAAAAAGGCTTGCTATAATTGAACTTTTAGTAACGAATTTCGCAGTTGCCATCGAGTGAATGCGTAACCAGCCACAAGGAGGGTAAGACAAAAGAACACAAGCAGATATTCCATTAGGTAACAAAGAAATCGGCAAAGAGAAAATGTTCTGATGGGCTGACTGGCTGTATTGACAAAGCTACATAACTCCAATAACTAGCGGTGGTTGCTCTTTTTGTTTCGTTTGTTTAAGCAATTCGTTTCGACTTCAATTTATCATTAAAAGAGGGCAGAGAGTGTGACATTTCACAGGAAATAACCTTAAAATTCAAAGCAAATTGAAAATATCTTTATGACAGACAATGGTCAGGCAGACCGCAATCAAGGGGCGGGCCTGTCAGCGGCACTACCTGTAAAATGTTAATTATAAAGTGCGACATTTTCCGTACTTTTGAAAACCAGCCTGATTATTTACTTTCCCCCGTTTAGATTTAAGAGTGATAAACAAACCATATTGGTTATAACAAAGTTATTACATGAAACTGATAATTTTGTAAATTTACCACAGATTTTCTTCAAATGCTAAATTCTTTCAAACTATCTTTTTCAAAAACTCTTGCGTGCGTCTCCGCTAGTGTACCGCCTGGAACAGGTTACACAGGATGTTGATTACATGACTTCGTGTCTCACCTGTCCTTCAAGTTGCTCCAAAGTAACGGATCCAGGACCCGAGCTGTTGGTAATGGACAAAAGGAGTCCGGAGCGAGTGGTGGTTCGGAAGATAATACCAATGTTTGTCTCCTCAGGTAATGAGTAGTTTGAGTCTAAAAAAAGAAAGGAAACTGTCAGACATTGTAAGAGCAGAATAAATCTTGGTGGTCCAATTTTTTTCCTTACCGTATACAATATGACCATCACCAGAGAAACCAACTTGTGCTTG